GAACCTCCCTGCTTAAAAATGAGTAAGATCCCAGCCAATCATGCCCAAATCAGCAATCAGATGGTCCAGATGGAGGCACGGTCAAGCTTTGGTTAAACTAGCCCAAAATGGTAATATGACAATTCAATTTTTAATCCAAGGCAGCCCGAGGTTACCCTCCAAACAATCAGGCCAAATCAAGGCCAGAAGACCAAGATATGGCATGACAAAGCTCAGCCATCCTTGCACAATATTGATCTAAGGCCAATTTACAAAGACTCCTTAAGATATCTAAATCTAAAGGAAAAAGTTTATATAAGGTTGCAACCTTAAAATGTAGAACTGCAGATGCACCTCAAAAATCTATCACAAAGGTTGTTTTAATGTTGAAAACTCTAATTGATCATCTCGACATCAAGATGTATGAATATGAAAAAAAATAATTTTTGAGTCCCAGAAATAATGCATCTTGCAACACATTATCTATACCGTCCATTTTCAAGATTTTCATATGTTCATAGATATACCTGATTTTAACCATCTTTGGAGTTTAAAATTTTCTAATTAGAAATGAAAATAAATTTTAAGATAATTCTAAGAATTTTTACAACAAAATTACATGTTATGATAAAATTTGGATGTGCACCTTAAATGGATTGTTTAAGGTTGCAACCTTATAGAAACTACAACCAAATCTAAATGGCCCAAGAACTTTATATTCCACCCAAATCTTAATATTCCACCCATGTCTACAAAAACCCTCTTAACCCTCATTTTTAAGGGTTGGACAATTGAGACTAAGAGCCAACCTTAGAGAGAGAAAGTGTACCCAATTCTCTAAATTACCCCTAAGCCTACCCAATTTACCCTTGCATCTTCCCAAAATCCCCAAAATTCTGCCTCAAGTCCCAAAAGAACCTAAAACTCCCAAGAACTTCTCACTCCAGGCCTAACTCCTAGGAAGCCTAAAATTTAAGAAAGTTCAATTCCCAAAGAACTTGAAACTTCAGAAAGTTCAATTCCCAAAGAACTTGAAACTTCCAAACACCCCAAACTTTAGAACTTTTCACTTTTGGCCCCTAACCTCAAGAGTGGGAGAGGATTAGGCAGGTCTTGAGTATATTTTGGTTGCTCTGGGAAGCAAGGTTCTTCGGCCGACTTGAGGGTTGCCCTTGCTAGGGTTCGATACCATCATCCATCATTCCATCCTAAAGTGCAAACGCATGCCCGGTATTCTATAAACTGGAGGTCTAAGAGGGCTATACCGAACAAGGAGCAAACATCTCCACCATGTACTTGCTTTATTATAAGCAATAAAAAGATTGTCGGTTAATTGTGTTCCTCTGGGTACTGGTTATTATTCAGGCTATCAAGTCATTCAACATACACACACGAACACCTTTTAAAGCAACACAAGATTCACTCCCTATAGGAAAATATATTTAAGAAATTCAACTTGGTGAGGGAAAGAAGAGAAGGCTTCCCTCTATCATAGTCTTATATAATAGCTTTTGTTTTTTATTTCCCATTATTTAATTTTATTTCTAATCATAAATTCCTAAACTTACGAGTAATTCTTAAGAATGTTTAAGAAATTTTATATTTTTAATTTCAATTTTTCATGCTTTTAAACTTTACTTTAACTTCATAAGGAAGAATTAGCATTTCTACTTCACAAAATTAGATAATTTTCTTGTTCGTAAATTAATGTAAATATTATTGTTTTATACATTTGTGTCTTACATTTTGCATCTAAATAGTTTATATTTTTTCATTCGATAGTCGATGCTTTTCAATCACGTGCAAAGCACATGCTTCTCACTAGTCTCTTATAAGCCACTGTTTTTGGATGACACATGAAGGCAACTATGTTATTAGTGTGTAAGGAGCATCCTAATGCCAGGTGAGCCCATAGCACCTCTCTTTGGCACCCACTAAGCCAGAAAACTAGATACCCATCCAGGGAACTCACACATAACCGAGAATTCATATTTCTCACTAGGGCCTGTACGCTCTTCTCTTGATGGTTGACCCAGATGTGAGGGTCTTTCATTCATGGGACCCTTCGTTGGGCCTGGCTACATTTCCAATTTTTCCACATTGACGTTTGAGAAGCTATGGGAGGTGTAGCTGGCAATAAACCCCATTCAATGTATAATAAAAGGCCAAGCCACAAAGGGTCAACCAATTGGAATGATAAAGTAAAAATAGAAAAACACAGAAAATATGAAGGATATTGATATAGAAAACTATCATAGAAATAGGATCTAAAAATGGCTGGAGGAGAAAGAAATTTTGCTTTTCACCAGTCCGAACTACAGAAAAAGGGTTCAGACATGTGAAATCACTTCAGAACAATAAATGAATGGTTGGACTAGGAAGCCACTCATTCTTGCTAGAGTCCTTAGCTTTAGGGATAGGATGATGGATTGAATCAGCAGAAGGCCAGACTCTAGTTCAAATTGTTAGGAACCTTCAATCCATTCAGGTCCTTGTACCACAATGTCAAACTACCTTCTTGGAAAGGGAAAAACTAGCCCTATTGCATGTAGCAGTTATTTTATTGGATGTCTTTACCAGTTCTCAGACTGCTTCACCTGTAATGTTAAAAACCTGATGCAATATGAATACAACAGAAATGGCCCCACATTTATCATGTACCTACTGCCTTGAGTGGGTAACTGACGATTAAATTCTCTTAATTTGGATCCAATATGGCTTATAGTTGGAGGCTTACTATTACATGAGATTCTTTTGGAGTCTTGGTTTGAACTTTAAGTATCGCAGGCACAAGTTTTAAGATGTGACTAGAAGCAAAAACCATGTAACAAAGGCACCCAGTGTAATGCCAAAATTTAGTAAGTGGTTAACAATTTGATTCAATCATCTAAATGTGACCAAAATCATATGGGTGATAACATAGTTAACCTTGGTCATGGAAAATTCTCACTTCTATCAGGGCCAAGCCCCATCTCAAGGCTTTAACAATCTTCATTTGTTTATTGTGACATGATACGGTGATGTTTGCTTAAAACCACATCTGTAGCAACTACAAGTTCATCATCTCCACATTCCTCAATATAACCTCTTGTAGGCCTCAAATAGGTGAAGGTAATGGTCATGGGCCTCGACATTTATTTCCCTAGAAAAAGGACAATGATATAACACTTGCATAGGATACCTGGCCCTTTTGGTTCAATTTGTAAGGCGGCTCCCTCATTGATAAGGTAGCATTCCATTTTCACACTCCTATCAAGATTGAGCTTCAGTAATATCACTAGTTGCACACTCCGATTTCCTTGCAGTTTGAGAATATCATAATGTGGAAAAAAAGTGAGTTATTTTATGCCCCATTACAACTTGCACATTTTTTATATTTTTTAAGCAAACTCAGCAGCAAAGTAAAAACCAGATGCATGGTGTATAACTTTATTAATTTCTTCGACTAAACTACATACATAAAAATGCATATACAACAATTTGTTTAGATATCATGGAAATCATCAAGATCATAGAGTAAAGGACTAATCCATAAAAAGTTAGCCCATATGAACATCTTAAATTAGCAAATTCCAACAGCATCAATCTAGTCGCAGAACTGCAAAAACAACAGCTAAATAAGTAGCTTTTTCACATAATTATAGAAGAAAACCACTCCAATGTTTAAAAACGATATGCCAATGATAGTTCTGTAGAGTCTTAAGAGATTGTCTAAAAAGATGTCACAATGGACTAGTAATGAATCAAAAAGTGCCAGAATCATTCATGCAAATAGGTGCATTTCAGATAATGACGCCTAGGTTAAGATCCACAAATAAGCGCACAGAAATTAATCAAAGAAAAAAAGGCAAATAGGGAGGTAGTTTCTATGTTGATCTTTCCTTACAAGATTTAACACAAAAATATGTGAGAATAGCGATAAGACTATTCCAGATGTGCAACAAACCTTGGACTCAGGGACCTGTTTGGCTAGTATACGGTTTGAACATTCAGTTTCCCTAAACCTAAACAAATCCTAAAGGAAGATGGTTGTACAAATTTGTAAAAACAAATATCAAAGAGTAGTGATTATAAAACCTGGCTAAAAAAATAATGAAGTGCATGTTCTACCAATTTTCTTTGGCAACTCAGCTCGTTTAATGGGAAATGGCTGGCAAAAGTCGAGATGTCCGTGGGTTGGTCAAGTCAATGGCTTGCCCAAGTCAATGAGTGGTACAAAACAAGAGGAGTGTCAATCACCACTTCACCAAGTTCAGTCAATCATACAAATCAAAAATCAGGCACAAGAAGTTCTATATATTTGTGAATTGTGATCACACACGCACGCATTTTCCATTAGATGATATCACATACTTATATTTTCCATTAAACATAAGTCAAACACAATGTGCAACACTTCGTTCTCATTTTTTATATGATTCTACATGTCTTCACTCCCTATCGCAGCAAGTTATTCTATATGAAAGAATATGTCAACCATAAATACCCTGGATATAGAATATGTCAAGAATAAATAAGGATTGCCCCCTTTCTTGATGTTCGGTTTTTAGATTTGGCACGACGGTGCAGAGCCGAGAATCCCCACGCACGGCATAGCACCGAAGCACGCCAGAGAGGGGGATAAGACTGGAATAGACATGTCTTCACTCCCTATCACAGCAAGCTATTCTAGATGAAAGAATATGTCAGCCATAAATACCCTGGATATAGAAGATGGGCATTTTGAATTTTCATATGCATCATGTAGATGCAAAGTTTCCCACCCCAAATAGATTACTGAAAAATTATGGCTCAACATTTGATTGATAACTTAGAGATCAATGCTGCCAAAGTCATTACAACCTATAAAAAGTACCTGAGTACTGCCCAAGCCATATTTTATTTCAGAGTTAAAAAACCAATTATAAATAAGTGCAAATTGGAAAAATGCCAAATAAGTTGCAAGTTAACACTTAAAACTGAAGTGGTCATTCTCATTCAGTCTCATATTGATTAAATTGCAAAAATCTATGATTCATTACCTCCACAACTTCCGTTCCACCATTCTGAATTCGGTCTGTCAAGTATCGAACTTCATCAGCAGTAAATGTGTATTGGGGTTTGACCTAAATCACAGATATCAACTTCATCACTCTAAACCCATAACCCACATATACGATCAAGAGATTGGCCACCAAACTGCCAGAAGCATTTACAAAAAGGAATAGAGAACACAAAAAAGAAAGTAAAGTGATATTGATTGCATCAAACCTGAGATAGAAGAGGTAAAATCGTCACCCCTGCATGTCCACCCACAACTGGAACATCGACGTCTTTAGGATCAACTCCCAAAACTTCGGCCTATAAAACCCCAATACAAACCAGACATTCTATCAAGTTACCAACAAAGAATCAAATAAATAGGCCAACTGCCAATGTTCAGAGTTCCCTAAAATCATCATGGATTTCACAGCAGAAATTTTGTGACAGAAAGTGGCTCCAGAAAATCGATACTCTTGTCGGTCCTCTTAGACCCAATTCCATCACAGACTACCACACTAAAATGGAGACCCATGTGCCGTCTAAATAGTTAAGTGAAGATATAGTGATACAAAGATGAAAGAGAAAGCACTCACCACAAAGGTATTTGCCCTCACTACATCCAGCATCGTCACCCCCAACAAACGCTTAGGATCAAAAGTACCAGCTTTCTTGAAAACCTCAGCTGCAATAGGGACAGTGGAATTCACTGGGTTGCTGATCAAGTTCACAATTGCATTGGGACAGCAGTTTACAATCCCTTCACAAAGGGTCTTCACAATCCCCGCATTTATGTTGAATAAATCATCTCTGGTCATTCCAGGTTTTCTTGGAACACCAGCTGGAATTATAACCAGGTCCATTCCAGTAAGAGCATTCTCCAATTGCTCTTTTCCTAAAAAACCACGCACCTGATACCCAAAGACAAGAGGAAGAAAACCCATCAAAAATCAGAAATTATGAAAAACAAGACCTTGAAAATTTGGGCACCCAGAAAGCTCTTTCTCTCACGAGGGAGAGAGACTTATCAAAACTCAGAAACCTAGACAACTGTGAATAAATCTCTCTTGATGGTACATGGCATAGTTTTAAAAGCCTTTAAAATTCAGAAAACCAAAAACGAAATTCTCTCACTAGTGTGCACGGCTTACTTATGAGAACATTGAAAATTCAAACAACCCAGAATGTATCCTTTCGCTAGTGAAATAATAAACACCTTCAAAATTCAGTAAACCCAAAATGAAATTTGTCACCACAGAACTTGGTTACTTATCAAGAACAACCAAATTCAGATAACTGAAAATGATTTTCTCCCACTAGAGCAGGGCCAATTCATAGTAATCTATCAATTCATAAAACCCAGTATGACCTTAGAGTTCAAGGCTTATCAAGACGACCAAAACGCGGACAGCCCTAAATTTCTCTTCTCCCATCATAGGGTATGGCTAACATATCAAAACCTTCAATACACAGGCGACCTAAAAATTGTTCTTTCTCAATAGAAGCCCTACTGCAAGACCAACAAAATTGGACAGCCCTATATTTCTCTTCTCTCTCAATAGAAGCTACTGCTTTCAAATCACGTGATTCAAAATCTTCTAAACTTACACAACCCAAAAATATTTTCTCTCACAAAAGGGCATGGCTTACTTATCAAGACCTTAAAACAGCAGGAAACCCCAAATTTGTTTTCTGGCATGGTGTACAAATGAAATGATTCAAAACCTTTGAAATTCAAACAATCTCATAATCACTTCCTCTCACAGGGGCACAATATACTTACAACAGCTGAAGTGTCCATGTGACTGACATCAGCAGTTACACCAGGCGAATTAACGACATCGTAAAGATGGAGAACAGAGACAAGAGGATTCATCTTCATCAGCATTGCAAGGGGTTGCCCAATACCACCCGCCGCCCCCAAAACAGCAACCTTGAAACCAGGAGCACCACCTTTTGCTCGGCACTCTGATCGTCGAAGTCCAGAGCGTTCCCCCATCTTTAAATACAAACCCAACATTCTCATTCTTAGTAGGCGCGAGAAAGAGAGAGAGAGAGAGAGAGAGAGAGAGAGAGAGAGAGAGAGAGAGAGAGAGAGAGAGAGTACGTACGTACGTACGTACTACTACGTACTACTACTACTACTACGTACTACGTAACGTAACGTAACGTAAGTAACGTAACGTAAGTAACGTAAGTAAC